AAAAATACTGCCGTTCTGCTTGAAGCAGATGTTTTTGACCCAACCTACCATCTCAGTTTTCTCTCCATCCCTGCCCTCTGCCTCAGCAATCACTGACAGAGCCCACAGTTTTGAGAAATAAACTTAACGAAGGATTGCCTAAATGACAAGCATGCACGAGAAGTCCATGCATGCCCTTAGATGCGTTAAGATTTTATTTTTGCTCTGGCTCCTCAGAGCTGCCTGGTAACTGAAGTTGGCCGTGATACGTATCGAAAGATGGTGCCAATAAACAACCCTGGAAACTTGTGTTCTGCTTCACAGACGCTGCTGGCCATGTCACATTGTGTTCTACTTATAAACCGTAGGGGAAGAGCTCCTGTGTTGTCTGAGTCAAGATTAATTGTACTTCTGGTAACTGATTATTTTTCTCTGGAACATTGTACCTCCTAACTAGTCATCCTTCTTTCCTTTGCGTTAGCGGCTAGGAGGAATAGAGTCCAGCGAATGGCTTCTAATCAGCAAATCCTCCCTTGTGGTTGATTATTGACAATATGCCTGACCTCTCATTTTTTTTCTCTCCTTTTAACTTGGATTGACCATTTTTGCTTAACGTCTGACATCATACAGCATGCATTTTTAAAGTCACCCTGAGTCCTTAGAACAACATGAGGTTGGCAGCGAAGCATTTAGCAAACGCTCGTTAAACCCTCCTTCCCATTCTGAGGTGGGGTCTGCCCACGGCCTTCAGGTTTAAGTTCAGACGGCTTAGCACAGATACAGAGCCTTCCCGGGGTGGCCCTACTCCGTTCTCAGGGTCAGTTGCCACCGTCCTGTATTCTAGGCACATAGGATTCTCTCCCCTGATGAGACCACATACTTGCTTTTATCCTTCCCTCACGATTATAAATAACAAGTATAAGCACTTATTAAATTTCGTTGGCAGTTATCCAGAATAATCAGTGCATCCTTTTAGAAACTTGGGAGGAGGATGTTAGAAACCATCTCCTCACACTCTGATCAAGAAAGCCGTACCATCTGGGACGGAACTGAGGTGTATGCAGAGATCTCACAGGCCATCGCTGTGTGGCAAGGCGGCCTTTCGTGAATTCGCCCTTGTGAGCTGGGTGGATGGGAGGCTTGGGTTTATGACTGCAGCTCCTGTGCAATACCTGATGCTTTGCGTGGCTCCCTCTCATGGTGAACGGCAGGTGTCTGACCTAGAAAAGCCACCTGAGCTTCTTATTGCTGTTTATGGGGTTTGGAGTGTTTTTACCATCACTGTCTCATTTGATCTTCCCCAAATCCTTTGAAGTAGAAAAGACAGGTATCATTCCTGTCTTCATTTGATGATCATGAGGCTGACCGCTGATCTAAGTGGTCGGTGGCAGAATCAGAACCAACTCTAAGTCAGTTCTTTGTCCTTTTCGCTGTGCCGTACTACCCATCGAGTTGTCCCTGTGTTTCTAACAGTCGTTTCGAAATGACGTATAGCCGTGCCTCCTTGCGCAATGTTTGTTATCCCTCTCCTCAAGGTATTCAGTTTTAGCTAAAAGAGAAAAATCAGTTTCTAGAATATCTTGCAATAATCATTTGGGGCATCCTTTTTTTAATACCCCTATGAAGGGAGAATTCCAAAAAACTGTATTTTTGGTGCTTCTTAGCATTTTATGTTTTCGTGGCCGCTGTGGATTTGGTTACAATTCTGGACTTAGATGTGATGTCTGTGTGGGTACATGAAAATCACACATTACTGTTCCCGTTGTTACATTGAGTCTGGAGCGTGGAACCGAGTGTCGTGAACTTGTCTTTCACAGTGCCTCGTAGAGCAGTAGGCACAACAGTGAGTATATTCAGGCACCTTGAACAGAGAGCTGTGGCGAAGCAGGGCAAAGCAGACGTGCAGTCATAATTTTGCTCGATTTTTCCTGCTAGTATTCTAACTGAAATAGTTTCGAAATCATCCGGCATGCACTTGAGTGCTCCCTACGTTTCTGGCGTTGATCTAGAACAGAGGTTGGCAGACCGCGGCCCACTGGCCACATCCTTTTGGACACCTCTGTTTGTAAATAAAAGTTTTATTGGAACACAGTGATGCCCCTTCATTTACGTAATGCCTGTGGCCATTTCTCACCCCCAAAGTGGAGTCGAGCAGTTGCGACAGGTGCTGCATGGCACACAAAGCCAAGGTCACTCACCGTTGGACCCTTGAGAGAAAGGGCCCGTAATCTAGAGCAACTGAATAACTGTTCTCTGCATTTAATGTGGGTTTCCTCTCACATTACTCTCCCTACAGACAGTGTCGTTCATTCACTGTTCATTTTTCAATTCACATCGAAGGACGAGGCTGATTATTGTAAGTAGCTGTCAGTTCAGTTTTTTTCCTCTGAATGTGTGTATCGTGTTCCCTTAGCGAGCCTTTCCCGGAAATGGGACACTGACCAGGAGCTGTGTGTCCAGATCTGTCCGCAGGTGGACTTCAGGGTGGGGTAACGTGGCCAGGAAGCAAGAACGAGGAGGCGGGTGCCGTGGGCGCCAGGGTCCCGGCACAGGTGCGAGCGCGAGCGCAGCGCAGTGTCGTCAGCACCAAGATTTAATCAAGTTCGCAGTGTTTTGTTTCGTCAAGAATGTTCGCAAGCGAAGGTGGCTCTTTTGATCGTGGTGGCGAGCGTGGTGACGCAGACTGGGGTGGCTGACTCACGGGTGGCCGCTGCTGCCTTGATTCGCGACCCGGCTCCGCTGTCCTGCCCTCCGCTGCCAGTCCACACCGGGGACAGGTGAACGCGTTCTTGTTTGCAGGGAAATGGTTTGGCCTCCTGGACCTCAAAAACGGTCTCAGGGCTCCCCGGGATCCACAGGGAGGCTTCGGGGACCACTGGTTTAGAGCATGGACTCCAGCCGGATTGCCTTGCTCGATCGACTCTCAGCTCTGTCACTTAATAAATGTGTGGCCTTGAGCAATTGACTTAACCTCTCCGTGCCTCAGTTTCCTCATCTGTGAAGTGAGGATGCCGATGCTACCTATTTCACAGGATTGTTATGGGGTTTAAAAGAGTTGCTATTTACAAAATGCTCAGAACAGAGCTTGGCACATAAAGCGCTATATAAATGTTGTTCAGTAGAACTAAACAGTAAAGCCAGCAGTCTGTACAAAAAGCGCAGTACGGAGAACGACCCGTGGCTTGGAGAATGTCAGGGAGAGACTCGTCTGCAAGCGCCGGAGGCCGGTGGGAGACTTGCCCTGGGAGAGGCGGTCCTCGGGGCTCGGGCAGCGCAGCGGGATGTCGAGGGTCAGAGAGGAGGGCGTGAAGGAGGGTTGTGTGCCGGACCTCGCACGTGTAGGTCTTAGTCTGCGTTAGCCTTTTGGGGAAGAAAAGTGAACGGAAGTCCACGGATGTGGAAACCAATGGGAAAATCTGGGTTTTTCCCACCTTTGCAAAAGATATTGGGTCGCTTTGTACAGGTAGGTAATAACCGACTCGTTCTTAAGGCACGCGCTATGGGACCTGGGTCAGCTTGAGACCGTGAAGTTGACTGCAGCTTAGTTTTACTTACACAGTCACTGTGTTGGGTGTGCTTAATTAGGCAGATGGTTAGCTGAAGCCCTCTGAGTGGATGACCTGGCAGAGATCCCCGGTGGCTTAGAGCGCGAGGCTGAGCCCTCGTTCGGTGCACGGGCTCCGTACCCGCGTGTGGCGGCCCCTGCCGCGGGCCCCGGTCTCGTCACACAGCACGTTCGGTCTCTCTTCAAAGAGCCTCTTGCGGTGTCCAGTCTCGAGATGAATCCGTGGCTGCTGCTGGTTGTGTGCTGGCAGGAGGCAGGGCCGCTTCCTCCGTGCAGTCGACAAATGGCGAAGGCTTCCCCGTGCCAAGCGCGTTTCTAAGCGTCACTAACAAAACGGACGAAATCCCTGCCGTTAGAGGTCGCATTTCAGCAGAGGGGGCCAGACAACACGAGCGTAGTTTAGCAGTGGAGTAAGGTTGACATGGTGAGGAAGGAAACACACCGGGGAGACACGGACTGTGTGTCAGGACGACAGCTACCTGCCAGGCTCAGTGACTGAATGATTTCGTCATTTTAGGACACTGCATTTAGTCTCGAGTGGAAGAGGTGGGTTTGCGCCAACAGCATCACTGCCATTTTTCTCCTTGGAGCTACAGCTCCGCACAGAGACCATGCCCAGGATAGAGGCTGGGGAGAAGGGGGCCTTTGCTCATCCTTCCCCCACACTGGGTAATGAACACGCACTTGACGGAGACAGATGAGACCTAGCGGGAGCAAATAATACTTAAAATTTCCTCGCAGCCGTGGCTCGCAGAATCCCGCGGCCAGCAGCACCGCGCCTGCCCCCCTGCGTCGTCTGCGGCGAGGCTTAAAGTCCTGTCCTTATTTCATCCAGACGTTGGCAGACTTTGGGCTCATCTCCTGTTTTTGTTTAGCCCACGAGCTGAGAATGGTTTGGGGGCAAATCAGAAGAGTAGCATTGCGCGAGGCGAAAGGTCTGTGCGCTCAGATCTCAGCGGGCGTGAGTCTAGTTCCGTTGGACACAGCCACGCTCGTGTGTTCACCCGCCGTCTGCAGCTACCTTTGCACCAGCGCGTCAGAGGTGAGTGTGAGTGGTCGGAGCAGAGACGGTATGGCTCGTGAAGCCTGAGATACTTACTGTGTGCCCGTTTCTGGAAAAGTTTGCCAACCCCTGCTTTTAACAGAAGGCAGCAGATGAGGGCTATCGCAGGTGGCATGCTGGTCAGAGTTTTTCTAAAACTTGTCTTCTTTCGCTGCGAACAACGCAGTGGCCTGTTTCTCTGAGGTTTATCATACCAGGCAGTGAAAACCTTCCTTAGAGCAGTAATGAGAAAGCGAGGTTTATGTTTACTAGAATTAACCTTGGGGTCTCTTACCTTTCTGTGACCTAGAACATTGGAAGAAATGAATTAATTTTTGCTGGGGAACATGCATAGTACGCCCAGACGTGTTGTTTCCATGTTAGCCAGACGCCTCACACCTTTTTGTCTTCCAGCCCGAGCAGCAGCAGGACAGACAGCCTGACATAGGGACCTGGGGACTGCTACCCAGAGAGGACCACAAAACACCCTCAGTGCTGTAGGCACCTAAGCCAGAAAGCACCCTATGCTTTTATCAGCGTGAGTAGCATTTGTCCCAGGTGTTTTATAGCAAGCCATACTTTTCTCTCTGTTTGCTTTATGAACTTGCATTTTTTGGTCATCTCTGCAAAGATTCTCGCCCCCAGAACATAGTATATTATTGCCCACGTGATAGCCAATCGAGCCCGGTGCTCAGAACTCTGGGAAATGACTGTATGCTCCCAGGAAATACTGATTTTGGCACCTGTGCCAGGAGGAGCGCTCCACTTTTTGAAATTCTCATTAAAAGGAAATGATCACAGGATGCACCATAAATTCTGCTTTGCTCTTTTCCCAGATCTCCGTTTGATACAGTTGCAAAGAAGAGCAGCCAGTTCCAGGGGAGGTGGAGCAGGCAGGGGGCAGGCAGGGGTGAGGGGAGGCGAGGGGAAAGGCTGTCTCACCTCGAGCCCGCAGTGCTGCATCAGAGTTCAGTGTGCATGCCTATGAAACTCAGCATGTTAGGTATATTTTTCTTCTCCTGGAATTAATTGTAAAGATCCCAGATTGAAAAGGTCATAGGTGCCCACCTAGGAATTAAACTGTTGCTTATAAGATTTGTCAGGTTCCCGGAAGGGAAGGTGGGTGCGGGCTGTATAGGGGGGGATCCTAGCTCAGGGGTTTTCATTCTGGGAACACGAGTCCGCTGTTGTCTGGTCTCGCCGTTTTTCAGGAGAAGTTAGAAATCTGGAATTTCTATGTGACATTCCCCAATTTTCGAATGCTGACCACTAATCTAAAAAAATGAGTATATGCCGGCCGATGAAACACGGCCGTGGTCACATTTTACCTGTTTACTAGTTCACAACTTCTGTGGACGATCGTTTTTCTCTAAATTATGTTTCCTCTGTC